ATATTTAGCATACAACAACGAACAAAATTTTCTCTAAAATACATTTTATTAAGAAGCGTTTTCTTTAAAAATAATAAAATAAAATTGTTATTGAATTTTCAAAATATCTAAGGCCTTAATAAATCTAAAACTTAAGTTTATTAAAAGAGGTTTGATAGATAAAACACAATTTATATTTGGTTATAATTAATGACGGCCATTTTCATCCTTTTTCCGTTATAAAGAACGTATCGGTGTAGTTAATAAAAGTTCAAATGTCGAAAGTTAAAAGTGGCTTTTAAAAAAAATGTTAACAATGTTTTGTTGTTTTGAGATATTTTAATTTGGAATTATTCCCGAATAGTTTAGCACAAGGTGGCATTTTTATAATACAACGAGATACCTAACCAGCTAAAAATATTTAGTAGGTAGTCAGTACTGCTCTGCTTTACAGTAACGTTAGATTATTGTTACAAATATTACATGAAATTTTGAACTCGCATCTGACGTTAGATTTTTCTCTTTTACAGAGTCCTTCCCCGATAAACATGCCATCACCTGCTTGTAACGTGACAGATAAGGATTGAAATATCGAGAGGAGGATAGGATTAGGAGAGGACCTACCTCCAAAACATTTGGCTGGATGTGGACGAATTCTTGGTAAAGACTGCAAGCGACCATCTTAAAATACCAGGATGTGTTATTTTTGGATGCGATGCGGTGGATTGGCCTTGAAGGAGACTCAGTACAGTGTGCATCTGTCGGCGGTACGACATTAGTGTTGAACGTGCAGGAAAATTCTATCTATTAAGATATGAAGTGGACGGTTCGATCTTTGATAATGATGTACGCCGGCTCTGTGCTCGCCCATCGCCCCTCGCATCCCACTATCAAAGAAGACGGTTAGGGGAGACAGGAAAAAAGAAAAGAAAAAAACGCTAATTCGGTGTTCAGTGAGTGTCGCGCGACCCTTATGAACCGAAGGGAAGGCGATCGTTCCATGTACAGGGAGCGAAAAGACGAACCACCACCACCACCACCACCCTCCAATAACAACAACAATAATAACAACAACGTTCAAGTTGTCAGTATCCAGAATTTCCCCGTTATCACCGGTCAGGATGGGAGGAAACCTACTAAAACCTCTAGATGTAGTTATGGATATCGTCTCAAGGCCCTTGCCGAGATTAGAAACAGCCTTTTGCCCTTTGCCACCGGCGATCTGACCGAATTGAGTAGTGCCAGTAGTAGTACCACTAGCGAATGTGGATGCGGTCAAGTCGACGGGGCATCGAACGAGTTGGACTGTAATTCTCAGATTATCTTACAACAGTATGCCAATTCTAGAGATGCCGAGGTAAGTTTTTTTTTAAGCTCATTAAGAACTGATCTGGCTTATGTACGCCATGTAACAAATCCGGTATGACAGTATGGCGAGAGAGAGAGATGAGAAGGGGGAGCAAAAACAAGCAGAGTTAATCGGCTCGTCTTCCTGTATCCTATCAGGACGTCCTTTTTTTATAATGCAACGTCATCCTGTGTCGAGTGCCGAATTAGACGTACCGCTACGCAAATGGGTCAGACGTACCGCTAGACGTAAATCCCGTCCCTGTAAAGTGGCATTTAATTTGGCTACCGCGGTCGTTAAAAGCTTGGAATACGAAAATTTGAAAATTGGGTTAACCTCCTCGACAAGAGACGCCGACTTGTCTTACAGAATGAAGTCTAATTTCCTCAGACTGCGTATTGCGACGGTTTTCCTGGAAACCATCCCACCAGTACAGCTTTGACTGCAATTTTTGTTTGTCAGTCTCTGGCTCATTCCGACTGTTTACTCCTCGATTCCGTCTAATTTGGGAATGGGTAGGAAAAATATGTTGGCTGCCGCTTTGTACTTCTGTATTTTATACACTATAAGTTTGAAGGCGCGTGTCTGCCCTTAGATAATAATCGTAAATAATAATAAACTGTTTCAACTGACTCGAAGAAATCGTCTCAAAGAACATGGGTTTGTTCGAAAAATAATAAAATTAGAATCACGCCTTAAGTTACTGCTCGTCAAAAATGTCCTTGAGTCTTCATATTATTTATTTCTGGATCTGTCACGTAAATAATACACTACTGCCTTTTTTTTTTCTGTTCTTCCCTCTTTCTCTGGATCTCTTTCATTCTCTCTCTCTCTCTGTTTCTCTCTGTATATTTATCTCACTACAACTCCGACCTTGACTGGTAATTTGACTGATAATGATTAAATCTGTAACGGGGAGATGATTTATCGTAACTTCTGTATCATTCTTGTAATGTATAGTTTCGAGGTGCCAATAGATTAAACTCTGTTATTCTGTATTCTTTTTTTTGCGCTTGTATAACCTGCATCTCTGGATAATCTGCTTCGAATACAATTTTAGCCAGTATAGTAAATATATTGATATTGCTATGATACAGCTGTCGATAGTGTTCACCGTCCTTCCGCTTCCATCCGACTGACCGGAACGATCGACACACTTCAACAGAATTCGTTAGCCCGAGGTCATTTTTGGTAACTGCCTCCACGGTGATTCACAAACAGGTCTGTCTACTTAAATAGTTCAGAATTTTTTCGTTTTTTTTTAGTTTAACTGCCTGTTTTTGTGCTAGGAATCAAGAATAAGGCTATTTCTCTCGCTCCTCTGTCTCTCTCCCTCTTTTTGGATATATACGTGCCAATCTTTAGCTAGGTCTCTAAAAAATTACATTCTTCAGTGTTATGTTTATGCATTTTTGGATGGCAGGGGACGGGCGCGATACAAAAAACAAAACAAAAAAAAAATATCGGCGCCAAAAGTCACGCTGACAACTCGTTTGTAATCGAATCACCTCTAAGGCACTTTGTTTCTCTTGATATCGAGTATTAAGCTGTTAGGCTTTTGCCCTTCTTAGCTCCTGACCTGAATATTCCGAGACAACTATTCAGGTTTCTGGAGTTCAGAGAACTCAGACTAACCTAATCAACTTGACTAGAATATCATTAGGGCATATTAGGCATAAAATTATATCGCCCGATCGAAACTGGAGGTGGATCGAGACTCGGGCGTTCTTTCCCTCCCTCTCTCTTTCTGGAGAGGCCCACATTTTGGAACAATCCTTTCTGGCGCCGTCTTATTGGCAACCCGTTTGCGGAATTTGGAAGTGTATCTCGGCCCGGAAATGCGTGTGTCGAATTTCCGCGTTCGCAACAAAATAACGTCGTGCGATCGTCACCGCGATCGAAACTGCCGCTTTAACGCCGTTATCATTTAACAAATACGTAAAAAATGGGGGGTGGCATTCTTTCGGTTTGGTGTGAATGTTGTTTCGAGTTCGTCAATAACGAAACGTTGCTCCTAATTTCAACATCTGCCTTTCCCCGTTAGCGATTGTTGTGACAGATTGGCGTTTGTGTGGAAACTGGCCTTTAAAGAGTCACGTGTACGAAAGGTCGTCGACCCTAATAATCCGAGAACCGGTCTGCAGTTTAGATTACTTTCAGAAAAGGCTCACTGCTAATGTGACTCAATTTTGTACCACCTCCTGCACTAATGATGGAATGCAGTCTGACTCCCACTTACTTATAACCATAAGGTGGGGTGTTTTCTATCGTCAATCTGTATTATTGATCCATATTTTCTGTATTTTAAAATGATTAGGCAATGAATTTTTATCCTTGATGTATTTATTCTGGAGGGCATGCTGCACTGTTATGAGTGAAATGTATTAATGATTGATGGCTGTTTTTGATAAGCTTATCTCCCACATTCCATCACAGGATAAGTGTATTCCTGTTTCTGTTTCATTTAAATGGTAAATAAAAAATTTAGGTCAAATAGCTACAATGGTTTTTACTTATCAGAGATTTTTTTCCCCTCTTGTTTGTCCGATTAATGCGACCATCTATGCATTTATCAATTACTGGTAGTTTTATATTGGCACAAAGTGCAGAATAATTCAGTTTTCATTCTAACTGATACTTTCAGTCTTTTAAAATTTTTATAGATTCTAACTTTGATGCCAGTAGATTATATATAAGAGGATTTCTGTTTGTAACTATCTATTGCAAAATATTAATTTAGATTTTTATTGATTTTTAAACAAACATCAAAATTATTAATGATACTGTCGTTATTTTTAATACAAGATTCTTATTTATTATCTAAAAGATAGCAATACATCTTATTGTTAGTACTATTATCTTTTCCCCATTAATCTGAAAAAAATAATTAGCTTTCAAATAAAGAATATGGAAAGTCAGACAGAATTTTGTGAGTATTAGAATGTGCCATTATTCTTCAACTTTATTGGTATTTTAATTATATAAATATATATATATATATATATATTTATTAAAAGGAATTACGTATCTGAACATATCCAAAAAATAATTTGTTTATCAATCTTCGGTTTAAATAAAAATGCCATTGGCATCTTATTTTTTTTTTTGCAATTTGTATAATGTTTCACTTCTGATATTAATCAGTTGAAAGAGACTTGGTTCTGTTTATAGTCAGATAATTTATCAATGAAATTTGCTGATTTATAATTTTTAAATTTATAAACATATTTTTCCTTTCATTCTGTAGTTTTCCAAATATGCACTTCTTCAGCTTTATATGATAATTAATTTAATTATTATGACAAAGAATAATATTTTGATTATTATAATATACATCATATGATGATCTCTTCTTTCTTTGAGTGCTTCTTATTTTATTTATAAAACTAGAGCTGTAAGGAAGTTCATATTATACTTATATAATTATTTTTTGATTATATAAGATACATATTATCAATTATACAAATTGAGTTAAATTTGAAGACTTGAATCCATTTTTATGAATTAGATTAATGGAATCAGCAAATTGTTTTCCTGATTTCTGTTATCAATAAAGATGATATATGCCATTTTTACAAATTTAGTAGATTAATGGAATTTTAAATATTTACTTGTTTTTTTTCTTCCCCTCAATTGCAGGAACCATCACATCGGATAACAAAGCTATCATCAGGCAAATCCATTGAACCAAATTTAGAAGGCAAGCAAGATGCTGTAACAGAAAATCAAAAACATGAAATTAATGGTCTCACAAGATCTAGTTAGTGTTAAGTTAATTTAAATAAATGGTAATATTTTTTTTTTGTTTGTTTTATAATTTATGACATATATTTTCTTCTACTTTATTAGATCTTTTGAATGCAAAACCTCTTCGGAAATTAAATGTTCAAGAAAGCTGTAACCGGGAATTATCTAGATCTGTGGAAAATTCTGGTAATGCACATACAGATAACTCTGGTATTAGCATCACTGGTCTTCAACATCGAATTCTTCCTGATGCACCCAAATTAATTGGTGGAAATGGAAAACATATTTCAGATTCTCAGAATCATCATCAACTTTCTCGACAACAGTCACCAAATTTTCCACACAATGAACCTCCTCCACCTCCACCTCCACCTCGAGGGATACAGGGTCCTCCAACTCCACCTTTAACTCAGACTCCTTATGGTGGTTTAGTTGGAAATCATGTTCAACATTTTCTAAAACGGATATCTCCTGTGCCACATGCTTCAAGACAGCAAACTGTTGGGTCTTCCTCTTCAACACCACAGCGAGGAACGAGTCCAGTTGCATTAGGTTGGGCTACTGCTGTGGTATCAAATGCCATTCAAGCAAAACAGCAATTAGCTCATCAACTTCAAAATTTAAATATTTACTCTAGTAGTACATCATCATCACGAACTGAACCACCACCACCATATCCATCTAGTTCTTCATTATATTCTTCTTCTCCTCCATCATATGCATCATCTAGCTCAGGAAGACAGAGTCCTACACCAACAATCAGTAGTAGTGAATATTCAGTGCCGCCTGTTTTACAGCATAAGAAAACACCACCACCGTCTGAAAATTCTATACAAACACAACATTCTTATAACTTTCAAGCCACTTCTGCACATGTATCAGTTTCTGCAGCAACTGTTTTGACTACAGCCATTCCTCGTACTACTTCATTACAAGCATGGAGTGTACGTCAAGCAAAATCACAACCTCCAGTTATTATGCAATCTGTGAAAAGCACCCAAGTGCAAAAACCAGTTCTTCAAACAGCTATAGCTCCTACTGCTCCAGCTGTAACCACTGCATCACATGCAGTATCATATATTCAACAAACAAATCAACTACCTGCTTGTTTAACTCTTGCTCAAATGAATCATGCCACACCTTTTTCTTCAGTACAAAGTGTCCCAACATATTCTCAAAATTTACAGGCACCCATTAATAGTTCATCAAATTCTCAAATAACTTCTACTTCCTCTCCTGCAGATGTCTATCATACATTGGCAACTGGACAAGTAACAAATTCTACATTTTATACTTCAAATGCTCGCAGTCATTTAACAACAACTGCCATTCTAACTGCTAGTCAGCAGACACAAACTTCATCATCATATATGATACCATATTCATCAAACATAAATTTATTTACCAATTCTAACCAAATGCCCCCTCCACCTTATACGTCTTCAATTCAGTCAAGTGGAATAGCAAATCTTCCACCTTCTTATTCAGCTATTGTTAAAAATACTGGTAATTCATGTGGAGAATGTGTAACTGTAAATGCTAATTTAACAACCATAGCACCTCATTTGCCAAACAAACAAAAGAAGAAAGTGAAACAAGATGGACCATTAGGTATAGTATCTGTGCATAATCAACTGGCATCTACTGTACCAACAACAGATCCTCCAAGCTATGAAACCAGCATTGCTGCATTAGCTGCACAAAAAGCAGCTTCTTCTGCACTTAATAACAATTTACCTCCATCTTTTACAAATTCTGGAAATCCTGTTTCAGTTAATATATCTATTTCTGCACCATTAATTAGTAGTAAAACATCGAATCATCCTACAACATGTAATTTAGTAGATACTGTAGAAAGCATATGTATTTCACAAGTTTCAGCTCTTTCAGATGCAAATAATATGAGAGTAAATCTTAACATGCAAGGTGAATCTATGCCTTTTTCTTCACATTCTTCTTTGCAAAGAAAGCCATCACCAGTTTCCATGGATACAGCAAGTTCAGCATCAAGATCAGACTCTCCAGTTTCACATGGTCTAAGTCAGTCTCCTGTTTCATTTATGTCTACCACATCTACTTCATCACCATCAACACAATCAGACACAACACAAGATAGTAGGAAAAATCCTTCATCACCATCTTATAAACTTTCTCATCAATCTCCAATACCTCCAAGAAAAGTCTTATCAAAAGAAAAGGAGGAGGAAAGAAGAGAATCAAAAGTTAAAAATTATTCCCCAGCTGCCTATAAATTTTTCATGGAACAACATGTAGAAAATGTCTTAAAATTTCATCAGCAGAGAGAGCATAGGCGACAGCAATTAGAAACTGAAATGGCAAAAGTAGGTTTATCTAATGAAGCTCAGCATCAGATGCGAAAGATGTTACATCAAAAAGAATCAAATTATATTCGTTTAAAAAGAGCAAAAATGGATAAATCCATGTTTACAAAAATTAGAACAATTGGAATTGGTGCATTTGGAGAAGTTGCATTAGTTAGCAAAGTTGATACTAATCATTTATATGCAATGAAAACTTTAAGAAAAGCAGATGTTTTAAAAAGAAATCAGGTGGCCCATGTCAAAGCTGAGAGAGACATTCTAGCAGAAGCAGATAATGAGTGGGTAGTTAAGTTGTATTATTCTTTTCAAGATAAAGACAATCTGTATTTTGTGATGGATTATATTCCTGGTGGCGATCTCATGTCCCTGTTAATCAAACTAGGAGTATTTCAGGAATCACTTGCCCGGTTTTACATTGGAGAACTTGTGCTTGCAGTTGAAAGTGTTCACAAAATGGGATTTATTCATAGAGATATCAAACCTGATAACATTCTTATTGATCGAGATGGTCACATTAAACTAACAGACTTTGGTCTATGCACAGGGTTTCGTTGGACTCATAATTCAAAATATTATCAGAGTAATGGTAAGTGTTTTCACAATTGCAATGTATATGAATTCTGTTATAATATATTTGATACATTCATTTCTAATTTTCAGGGGAACACAGTCGCCAAGATTCAATGGATCCAGAAGAAAAATGGAATAACAAATGCCATTGTAAGAGTAGTGCCAATTTAAAACCTTTAGAAAGGAGGAGGCGAAGAGAACATCAAAGGTGTTTAGCTCATTCATTAGTTGGTACACCAAATTATATTGCACCTGAAGTGTTAATGAGGACTGGTTAGTGTATTATTTAATTTCATAATTTTTATACATAATTCTGTGACCAAAAGGTGTATAAATGACAGAAAATTTAATGACAAAATTGGTAGTTTAATATCTGACAAAAATTTTTTACAAAATGAATTGGAAGTGGAATGAAGAAGTTTTTAGTTTGTAAATTTTCTTTCTGGAACAGTCTAGGATGCATTTTATATATGTGAAATGCCAAATTATTTATTTCTTAAAATTTTTCAAATAAAATAAATGTTACTTTATGAAATTTTAATAATTCATTGAAATTCTGTTATTTTATAGGTTATACACAGTCATGTGACTGGTGGAGTGTTGGGGTAATTTTATATGAAATGTTAATAGGACAACCTCCTTTCTTGGCCAGTACTCCTGCAGAAACACAATACAAGGTGAGTATTAAAGTTCTCATATGATTACATATAAAAACATAAAAGCATTAAATCATTATTATACATAGATTTAGAAAAATTCTATAGTATAACTAAATAAATTATTTTTTTATTTTTTTTTTAGGTGATTAATTGGGAAACAACACTACACATACCAAAAATGGCAAATCTTTCTACAGAAGCAGCAGATTTAACCTTGAAACTGTGTTGTGGACCTGATAAAAGACTGGGAAAGAATGGAGCTGATGATATCAAAAAACATCCATTTTTTGTTTCCATAGATTTTGAGGGTGGCCTCAGAAAACAGCCTGCTCCTTATCTACCTAAGATAAGGCATCCTGCAGACACTTCCAATTTTGACCCAGTAGACATGGATAAACTAAGGAGCAGCAATTCCAATTCTAGTGAAGAGAGTCCATCTGAAGAGGGATCAGAAAATGGAAAACATTCTGAGCATGCCTTCTTTGAGTTTACATTTCGGCGTTTCTTTGACGATGGAGGACAGACTTATCCTGCAAGGACTAATTTGGATGACAATGATAATCAAGGCTCGCCAGTGTATGTGTAAAGTGTGTCAAAAATGCTTGTTTCATTTTAATTTAATATCATTTACTATATAATAGAAAGAAATCCATTTATCTCAATAAGATACTGTTCTGTATATCCTTAATCTTCAGATCTCAGGGATAAAATCAATACAAAACTGCAAGAAATCCTCACGGTGTCCGGTGTCAAAACACCTTAAATGTATTAACAGAATCCGGGATCAAAAGTGACACCCAACAAAATGTGTAAGATTTATTGTGATTATGTACTTTGTCAGAAGCTTAGCTATAGTGATTGATTAAAAATATCAAGCCGTGCCTTAGAATAAACCATAAGCATAACCAATGGATATCCAACTTTGCAGAATAAAGCATCACTTTTTAAGCTACACACCTCATTGTGAAGTTGTCTTATGCAAGCATATACAAAAGAAACTTTTTATAAAAAAAAGGTGTATATAATGTATAATTTTCACTCACATAGTATGCCTTCCACAAATATGTAAAATAAGTAATCATCAAGCCTGTAAATATTGGAGTCACGACTCAAAGTCACTAAATATTTGAATAGAAAATAAATGAGGAGCGAGCTGCTTCTCGAAGGGGCATTGTTAGTCAATTTTCTGTACAGGTGTGCAAAGCATTTACAGTATGATGGTTTTAATCACATGTTGCCATTAGATTTGTATTATTGATACAGTGAGCAGCAATTATTAAATAAACAAATAAAAAGCTTTCTGCCTCTTTTTTTATTATAGTTTTTTTTTAAATTTGATATTAAACACTTGATGTTATAAGTCTCAGTTATTGTGATAAAATAAGGAATAATGTAAAATAATAAATTATTCAATTTGCATTGAAAATACATTTTGTAAAATTATTGATAAACACTAGTATTAAATTAATCTAAAATTTCCAAAGACTGAATCTTCAATATAAAAATTCATAAACAAACATCACATACAAAAATACTTTGACATTTTCAAAGATTATGAAATACTAGCAGGCCCCGCCACGTGTTGTTGTGGCTCAAAATGTATTAATTATAAATGTATAACACTTCCCCCGTGGGGGTGAATTTTTCAAAAAATTTCTTCTTAGTGTACTGTACATTCTGTTGACATACCCTATTAAAACGCAAAAACCCGCATCTAAAATACTATAATAGAAGGCAAGTTCTTCATGGTAAGCCTTAATCCTAACCATCTCCCTTCAGTGGGGGGATTGCGACACGTATATTATATAAAAACACGTGTATTCGAATGTAGCGTTGTGTCAAAATTTCAAAGGAATCGGTAGGAACAAACGAACATTACATTTTTATTTATATAGATAGAAGAAGATCTGCTTTAGTTCATCCTCACAGAAAAGCCAATTTAGGTAGTCATACTCGTAGCGCTATCTGTTGGACATAAAAGCCTTAACCTAGATTATATCTTTTAATTTATATGAATATTTAACAGAATAATATACAGCCTATGTCCACCCTGAAGTTCCATTCTAAATATTGGTGAAAGAATTTTGAAATCGGATGTATAGTTTCGGAGATTACCCACTACATCCAAACTTACTTACTTACAAACATTACCTCTTCATAATATAGAATAAAATGAAATCTATACTAATAACTAATGTTTACCAATAAAATTTCAAGTTCTTCTAGCAGACATTTTAGAATATGAACTATAATTTTATAAACAATTTCTGTGATTGTCATATAATAATTTAAAATGCAGCACATCAATTGAAAATTTTATTCTAATAAACTAAAGGAAATTCAAATTTGTAACAAAAATATCAATGCAGCAAATATAAAAATTGCTAATTTTATATTACATTAGTGGAGAGATATAACAACATATTCAAATAAAATTGATAACAAGATATATATTTTTTTCTATTTTCAAAAGTTACTATTTAAAATATCTGCAAACTTTCAAAATCTCTCCATTTTAACCAAATTTAACTGTTTTCAAAAATACTTTTTGGAGTTGTCATGCCAATAATTGGAAATATTTCTGTAAACCAGTCCAGTTTTAAATGCTATTTTTAAATGTTAAAGGACTGGTTTATACTAAATCAATTTTTAAAAATTGAATAAATTTATGTGTAATTTTTCTTAATGGATTATTTTATAGATACAAATTAAAGTGAGCAAAAATCACTCCAATTAGATCTAAGAAGAAAATTTGCAATAATGGCAATTGCTTCTGTTGCATTATTTCTAAACTGGCAATTTCATGCTGATTATTCTGAAAATCAGATTACTTTAGAAAATTATGAAACCATTTAATTAAACTTTAATTAAACCATTTAATTAAATTTCAGTTACATAAAATGAAAATAATTTTTAAGTAAATACTGTAAATTAAAAAATTGCTCCAAATAAAAATAACTCTACTTATTTGAGTGTTTTTGGCATATATTCTCGCATTTCTACAATCATAACATTAAAGTTTAAAAAATTTATTTTAGAAACTGGAAACAATAATTCTCAAAACTAATAATACATGTAAGAAAAAACTTTTAGTGTAAATAATGTAATGCAGCCTGTAATGTATAAAACTTTGAATTGATGTTGAAGAATAACAGAAAAATCTTCCAATAGTCAAATAAACATGGAAAAGTGATGACCAAAAAAAAATCCATTCCTAAGTCTACTTATTTAAAATCAAATATACATGCAATGATCATATGGCATTTATTTCATAAAGGTAACCTTTCTAAGCTTCTTATAACATTTAGGAGCTCAAGTCCCATTCAAGCCCAATCTTTATTTTTCAAAATTTTCTAAATTATGCGTTGTTCGAAAAGTAAGTTCGCTTTTTTTCGGTAGAAAATAAAACAATATTTTTATAATAAATAAATATTTTATTGAATTATATATTGACTATTTTGGTCAAATACCTGTTTCTGGTAGTAGCATTATTTCACATTCATAAAAGTTTTGATCGTTGCTTACAAAAAACTGATCCAAGTGATTTTTGACATTGTCATTTCAAGTAAATGTCTTACATTTACTTGAAAATGTAAAAAAAATTTAAAAAGCCGTTAAAAAATTTGTATAGACCAGAACAAGTAATAATCTGAGTGTGCTCGATCTGGCGAATATGTTCGGTGTGATAGCACGTCCCATCTAAGTTATAACAATTTATGACCAGTTACCAAACTTATGTGAAATTTGACATTATCGTGGTAAAACACTACATCTATTTTGTCGATCAATTCTGGCCGCCTTTTCTCTTTAATGATATTACTCAATTAGTTTACTCGATAGTAGTACACTTTCAAACCAATTGTTAAATTGTCTGGTAAAAGCTCAAAAAAAAAAAATCCTTTAAAATCCCACCAAAGAGAGCATCTCTCTTTAAGAACATGTGGAACCCGTATAAGGAACTTTGAAACGAAACCAATTTGTTTCAAGTAATCATAAACGGTTCAATTTGACAAATTTCATCTCTTAGTGATTTCACGTGTTGTTATTCGGCAGTTTGCTTCAATCAGTACCTTTATTTTGTTTTCATTGGCTTTAACTGGCCCCAGAACGTGGTGCATCTTCAATATTGAAATTGCCAAAACGAAATTTTATAAACCAGTTTTGGCACTGTCGTTCTGTCAATACATCTTCTCCATACACGTCACACAATTTTTTTCTCGCTTGAACAGCATTCTTACCTTTTCGGTAACAAAAGAGCAAAATATGCCGAAAATGCTGCTTTCGATCTTCCATATTTGATGGGACACAAAAAATAAACAATTGCACAAAATCAAACAAAATTTTTTACAAATAAGCCTTAAAATGCTAGCTGTCAAAATATATATAATGATAATACGGTTTAGAATGAAAATGGCGGGAAAAATAGGACTAATCCATCTAGTGGTAAAAAAAAACAAAATTACTTTCCGAACAACCTAATAGTTTGATGTCCATGAATTGATTAAACGAGAAAAAAATATTCCTCAAATATTCTTAATTTACTAAGAAATTAATTTTTAACGAAGACTAATTTTCATCTTCTTGCTGCAAAAACAGAATTTAAAAACTGAACCAGTATTTTTATTCCAGTAGTTTCTTCTATAATACAGTCGATCCCCCTATAAGACGGTAGATACGTTCCGTTCTTTATGAATCGATTTTGCAGGAATCACAGCCAATCACAGCCTAACACGTGTGAAGTTTATGGACTATGGCTGTTTGAAAGGTTTTCTTCCATAAAATTAATCGATTCTAGACTAATTCGACTCAACATTTCCAAAATACGTATTTTTTTTTTTTTTTTTTTTGGAAATAATCCGTATAAACTACGCTATAAACAAAAAATTGTAGGATTACTTACCGAGTGTGCACCATTTGACATCGCCGTTACTCAAGCTTGTTTTCGTCGCGGAACAGCGCACCAAACGGCGACTGCGTTTTCTGATAAATTATTTTTCTGAGAAAAATTCATTGACCTTCGGAGACATCATTAATATAAATAATTTTTATGGCCGTTGANTTCTCCACGCCTGAATAGGAACTAGTTACCCTTAAAAGACCTCCGGAAGGCATTATCCCCGTCCCCGCCTATAACCAAACAATAAAGCTTCGGCCGGTTCATCGGATTACGAGCTTGCTGCAGCCATCGTGTTTATGTATTGGTAAATAAATATGTTGGTTGTCTTTATTTTTTGTGTATTCAGTGTGCTGTATTGCACAAAATGCAATACAGCACACTGAATACAGCCCGCGCTCGTCATTCTCTCAACAAAGAAAGATATACAAGAATAATTTCTTATAAATTCATTCTGAAATCGAACAATATTGAAAAATAAAAGAATGGCTCAGTTATTTGGTCTGCTGTGAAAAAAGTTTGGTCCTTGCTCTAAACATATGTAAGAAAATCTGTTGCAATTTTTAACTATCTGTATTTGGCTGTATTCTGCATTGCACATTACACAGTGGCAGGTTATGGCACAGTATATCAAAAAATTCTCAAAATATGAAATTACAAAGACATCTGTCTTTGTAATGTTTTATTTAAGTCCAACGTTGAGATGATACCTCTTTAGTGTTGGCATGCATGTTGTTTGCGAAAATCTATTATTTACCGGTCAGAATTTTACCAATCGAATATCCTCAGTTGAGATATTTCAAACGACCGAAGACGGTGCTATGTTGTCACTGTCGACTAGACATGCACTACCATAGGAACTTTGTATCTATCGTAGTGCATGGCTTTAAATGGTAGCAGCAGTGACAAACGTCCCGCTGCATTTTTATCTATTACTACGGTCTTGGCATAACCATACTATCCCAATAAAAATCTATTAAGGTGACCTTATGGGTATGG